GTCCAGTTTTATGAAACAGTGACATCACCAAAAATATTAAAAGAAAAGGAATGCGTAATTTCCAAAATTTCTGAAAAGTCACTAAATGACCATTCTGAACAATTAGATAGGGTTGAAACTTAACCATATTCTATATATATGTATGATAAAATACTCAAAAAAGAGATAGCCAGACATAAAATTATGATAAAAGATATTACCACTGTGGAGAGGTAACCGCATACAGTAATAGTATGTTGTTTGGAAACCAGGGTCGCATCCCAAGTACTTCTGAACAATAGCGGAATATTATTGTTTAGAAAGATCCTCTTGTACTAAAATTAAGCCTGTTAGAAGACACGCTATGTTCTTAATAGTAGGTATGTAACAACAAATAACTCAGAATAAGTAATACATATTGCAGCCTTTTTCGAAAACAAAGTTAGTGATTTGGAATAATCCTGCAAGTTGGAATATACATATCAGAACAAATTTTACTGCTAAGCAAAATCACAATAGTAAATTTCGAATTAAATATCTCCCTACTACAGATTTATATCTACTGTTGGTATGAATTTACTTGTCAAGCTTATTAGATTTATAAAATTTCTCTTGTCGAGGAATATTTGTAATAATTTTAAACTATTATCTAATTGAATGGAAGTTATTGTATTTTTCTATGAAGATAAATCATTAAAGCTGGTTAACCAATTTTACAGTCATTACCGTTACAGTTACAGTTTATGGTTTTTTAATAGATTTGTTGCGTTATTACAACATTACCTCTTTAATCTTCTGTTATCTATCTTCGTTCGTCGTTCTTTACTAAAATCAAAATAATCAAGTCAGTGTCGTCCTTTTATCTTCTAATTTTTGTTTTCCATGGACAAACGCTTTTACAACAGGCCATTTTTTTATAGTCGAAGAGAGTTCAATAAATCACGTTTAGTTAGTTACTGATTGATTATAATTAAAGACGAATATGTGGAAGATGAATATTTATCGAATCGAATATAATTTTACGTTCCTAACTTGATGACACTTGTAATGAATATGATACAACGGAATGATAAAAGTTAATGTGCCGTTGAAGCAGCCCTATAGAAATCCCTCAGGTGTTTCACTTTACAAATAAGAGTGACCCGGAAACTCAGCCCTCAGCACTTGGATGTACACGTGACTTAATTTAGAAGTTTGTTCGCATTACACCACGATAGTCTTTCGCTCGGCTTTTGCTTTGTCGTATGTGAATTTTGATGATCATTATGGCGCAACCCATATGGGTTGATTAACGATTATTTTTTATTCAAATGTAAATTGTACTACCACGATAGTTGTTCTGTTTATTTTAGGTAATTATTTAACTCTAGGAGTCAGTAAACTCTTTTGCTGGTTACTTTATTATATGCGTTTATATAATATGTACACTAGCCATAGTAGTAGTATTTTTTCTTTAATTATCTTTATCATGCTCCGTGCGGATATAGTGATCATAAGTCCTTATGCTAACCACCACGGATACGTGCTGCTATCCTCCATATCGCTGACATAAAGGTTTTTTTTTCCTACCTAAGCTGATAGCCTTGAGAGGCTATTTTAGCGTAATCTTAACTGGTAGGTGAGCTCAAGGGGCTCAATCCTGACGACGTTGCTAACACGAACCCTAGCAAGAGCCGTGTTTCGTAGAATCTACCATCGGATCGGAAACACGACCCACTGAGAGAAGATCCGGCGAGAAACTCAGTGGGCTGTCTGTGTCTGTGGGTTTACTCTTTGAGCCCTTCGTCGCAAGCGATGGGTTCGACGAGAACGATGACCGGTATCACAAAGGGTTAGCGGGCTATCAGTATAGCCGTTACAATTATATTATTATTCAAACTTACATATCGCTTCTCGAGCTTTGTACTGACATTTACGTTATAAGATCTATTGGTATCGGATATCGTTTCGCACCAACTGGAAAATGAGATTATTTTATCATTATAGAGATATTATTAGAAGATACAATAGACGATGCGACGACTTCATAGTGACTTCACTTTGAAGTCATCGTGACCTAAAGGAAAAGACGTCCGGTGCATTCGTATCTTGCGACGCAACAATTTTTGAATTCCGCAGGCGGGTACCAATTTTTCTAATGAAATACGTACTTAACAAATGTTCATGATTGACTTTCACGGTGAAGGAATAACATCGTGTAATAAAAATCAAACCCGGCAAATTATAATTTGTGTAACTACTGGTGGCAGAACGTCTTGTGAGTCCGCACGGGTAGGTACGACAACCCTGCCTATTTCAGCCGTGAAGCAGTAATTTGTTTCGGTTTGAATTGTGTGGCAGCTGTTGTAACAATAGCTTAGACCTCATATCTGAGGGTGGGTGGCGGCATTTACGTTGTATACGTCTATGAGCTCCGGTAGCCACTTAACACCATTTGGACTGTGAGCTCGTGCACGCTACTATCAATAAAAAAACGCAATAAATTTGTTGTCAATAAATATTTAAAGGAATCATTTCTTAATCAATGGAAACATACCCTTGTGTCCACTTGTACTCAAGTTCACTTAGACTTGAGAAGCTTCTTGAAGTCGCCAACTTGGTCAAGCGAACTCCGTTAATTTATTTCTTAGTTTGTTGGTAGCTTTTTGTCCAGTCAACAAGTTTTCAACGGAATTCTGGAAAACAGTATAAGTCGTAAAAAAAAGAAGAAAAAGGTATTAAATTAACTTTAATTCGTGAAGTTTTTACTACAAAATGTATATTCTGGTGGTAGGACCTCTTGTGAGTCCGCGCGTTTAGGTACCACCGCCCTGCCTATTTCTGCCGTGAAGCAGTAATGCGTTTCGGTTTGTAGGGTGGGGCAGCCGTTGTAACTATACTGAGATATTAGAACTTATATATCAAGGTGGGTGGCGCATTTACGTTGTAGATGTCCATGGGCTCCAGTAACTACTTAACACCAGGTGGGCTGTCAGCTCGTTCACCCATCTAAGCAATAAAAAAAAAACAATTTGATGAGTAGTATTTGTAATCCCAATGGTTAAATTGATTGCGATTTTGATACCTTCCTTCCTACCGGTATTCCCGTGCTTTCATGGTTTCGAAAACGTTTTAACACCAGGTGAGCTTATAAGCATATTCCTAATTTTATTTTTGTTTAAATCATTACTTGTGAAAGTTCAGTGTTGTACTGAAGTGGTTACCATTGCTTCCGTTAATTGACATGATGAAAAGGTCTTACCGATTTTTAGTTATCTTTATTGGTTACTTTAGTGATTTCGATTCAACGCTTGAAGACCTCTGTGCATTCGGATACACCAGACTGAATATTACCGCAATACCCCAACCCCCGCAACAAAGAAAATTTCTCACTTCGAACACTTTCTGAACTGTATCTCAAGATGTATTCTTCTGCATATCTGTTCTTGCATCTCGCGTGTTTTTATTATCATTATATTATTACGCATTTACGTTGTAAATGTTTATGGGCTCCAGTAACCACTTAACACCACCAGGTGAGCTATGAGCTCATCCACTCATCTAAGAAATAAAAAGAAAGAAAAAAAATCCGACCACGATAAAGTATCTATAGACTGATATATTATTAATGTCGTCCGTGATCCCGAAAACGGTATCCGAAACTTCGGAAATAATGTAAAGATAATTAAAAAAAACGCGATTATAAACCGTAAAAACACTTTTAATTATGTTTACGTCTCGCGAAAACCAAAGAAAATGTATTGAAAATAATGTATTCAACTGTACGAAACTACCCTTATTTTGAAATTTCGAGATTGAATTAATTTATCCTGGTCACAACCCTTAGAGGTTACCAAGTTCTTGATTGAGAAACAGGTCTTAATCACTTTGAAGCGGTTTCGATTTGTTGTATCACCACACAACTCGATTTAGATACTTCAAATTACGATTGAATATACATTTTATGCTTGAATTATCTTCTTAAGTCTTCAATAAACAACTGAAATGAAATTAGACTACAGGCAATTTTAACTTTAATTTAATTGCCGGTAAAGCTCAGTATATATTTTTTTTGTGGCTTAGTTGGGTGGACGAGCTCACAGCCCACCTGGTGTTAAGTGGTTACTGGAGCCCATGGACATCTACAACGTAAATGCGCCATCCACCTTGAGATATAAGTTCTAAGATCTCACTATAGTTACAACGGCTGCCCCGCCCTTCAAACCCAAACGCATTACTGCTTCACGGCAGAAATAGGCAGGGCGGTGGTACCTACCCGCGCGGACTCACAAGAGGTCCTACCACCAGTGAATTTTTTTGTGAATTTAGCCTCGAAGAGCTTAAAATAAATAATTTCCGAGCGGTTCTGATATATTTATTAAGAACTTCAAGCAAAAGAAAGATGAGGCTATCATCGATTCGGAGCGTATGCTATTTAATTTATTTAATGTTCGTGTACTTGTATGAGTTGTGTGAATAAATTCTAACCCGCAAAAATTGTAGTAATTTGGGTAATTACTGGTACATAGGTCGTCTTGTTAGCCCGCATAGCCCACACGAGGATTACTACCACCCTATTTTTGTCGCGACGCAGTAATGAATTCAGGTTTAAAGGTTGACACATTCGTCATACTATACTATACTATACAATTAACTTAGATTTTATACCTAAAGCTGCTTGGCGGTGTTCACGTAATGATTTTTATGGCCTTCGGTGGTGACCGTGTTAAGTGGTTGCTAAGCACCAAGAGTAGGTTCATTCTTCTATCTAAGCAGTAAAAAAAACAGATTTCTATCATTCTTTGTCAATCCAATGCCCGTCGTATCTAAAATTTACTTGAGTGAGTCAACCTTAAAGCTTATCAATGGGCTATTAAACTTAAACTAAAACAAACATGTACTGATCTCCATTTAAGAGGACGCGGAGAAGAATTTTATTTATGAGAAGAATGATGTGTGTGTTGTTTAATATGAATAATACATTACCATTGTTTTAAATTATATATATCATGGTGTTCCCTATGTTCTGTTTTCTCCTACAGGGCTTAGAGATAAAGGGCCAAATGGTGTTTTGTTCCGAATCGGATTCCCTTCTCTTCGTGGGTTCTCCGTTCCTTGATGGACTTGAAGGCTTAACTGGGAGAGGCCTCTTCATATCAGACATTCCACTCCACGATGCAACAAGGGACGTCATTCTAGTGGGAGAGCAGGCTCGGGCACAGGTAAATTTACTAGCGTGATTTTCAATAGATTTTATTTCAGTAAGTCTTTGGCTGTAAAAACAGCGTTCACGTAAAAATTCGTTCTTTTTGAAATTGTCTTCCTCTACCTTCTTTTTTTTTTCTACCTAAGCTGATAGCTTTGAGAGGCTATTTCAGCGTAACCTTGACTAGTAGGTGAGCTCACGGGGCTCAAACCGGAGTGATGCTAACACTGGCCCTAGCAAGAGCAGTGCTTCGCAGAATTTACCACCGGATCGGAAACGTGACCCACTGAGAAGATCGGGCGAGAAACTCAGCTAAGCTACCTTCAGTGTTTCTAATGACTATAACTAATCACCAACGACTAAATCTATCTTCTTTCACTCTGCCATTGGGAAGAATTTTTTTGAATAATTCTACGAGTAGATACTTATCTAAATATCTCCGATGCCACATCTATAAATCGAAACGAATAAACACTATTTCTTTGAGAACGTTGGCCGAAATACTCACTTCGTAGCTCAAGAGCAATTGTACAACTTCGCTTCATATGTGTGCACTTGTTGAACAGCATCGAACCGAGACTTGACTGAATGTCGATATCACAACACTAGAGACTCGCTTTGTGAGAGTTATTAGATTGTTCACAAGGATGTCGGCGTTTTGTTAGATGATGAAGTTTCTCTAACTGTACCTGGCTTGGTTTTTGTCACAAGATTTTTTATCAAGCTGTTGCAATATGTTTGTTCAGATTTGTATCTGAGTTTTTTGGAGTGCTGAAAAGAAAAAAAAGTCAGCGATGCCAAAAAGCGGATATTTTTAGATAGAGACCCTTTTTTATAGATAGAAGCCCATTTAAAATAAAGCAACTCATTCTACCATCCTGTAGTCATTCGAATGTAGTAAACTGTTTTAAATATCACGTTTTTAGTCTGAACACGATTCGCTGACAATAAATTCTAAGAAACTGATCAAAGGTTCTTTTAAAATACCTATTTGCTAAGATGATAAAATTAACAAAAAATATCAACCAGGACGGACTTCGAAGGCGTATGGACAAACTTAAGAACTCAATCGAAGAAGCAAGTAAAGCGGTAGACAAAGAACGCGAGAAGAATGTCAGTCTTCTGCATTTAATATTCCCACCTCACATCGCTAAAAGGCTGTGGCTAGGTAAGTCCTGCTCATTTTATAGAATGTAAATAATAAATAAAAACGAGGACAAATCACACATGGTCACTTAGCCCCAAGCTATGGTTCTCTGTTCTGTGGGAACTAGATATTAATAATATTCATAATTAGAGACACGGAACACAAAGAAGCCTTTTCGACACCCATGTCTTCCCAGTGTGGGTCGGAATTGAGCTCTCGGTTCAGCAGTCAGGAGTGCTAGTTAAAACACCGCCGAGTCAGTCTTGGTTATTGATCTTTATAATAAGGAAACATGATTAAAAAAAAACAATTTTTGGTAATCTTTGCGTTGTGTAAAGTATAAATAAAAAAAGTAGTGCTCTTGTACTCTGTATACTTATTGTTGTGTTTCTCCTAACAGCTGTTTGTACAAAATATATTAAATAAATGCCTACAAGAGTAACTTGGGATTGTTACAAAATATTATGTTAATAACGATTCACGGACATTTGCAACAACGTCTAGTTAAACCTACACTCGAGCTATTATTTTTCATTTAAAAAAAGTGTCTTTTACTTTGTTGTTTATCAACAAAATTGTTTCACCTGAAGCCAATATCAGTTCTACTTAGTCTATAGTTTCGCGACCCAAACATAACTAGAAAAGGTATTAAACAGGCTGCATATGATAGTTATTTTATTTCATTTCATAACTGAAATGGGAATCTCGCAGGTATAAATATTGTTAAATTTTGGACTGTCGCATTGAGATACTGAAAATCTTCTTAAAGGAATATCCGATAGCTACGTAGCCCTGAAACGTTCCTCTAACAAAGTAGTTAAGCGACCTACAAGCTCGTCAACCAATTAATTACGAACTTTAATCGCAGTCGGGGCCGCAACATGTTCAGTACCTCTAGCGACAGGTGCGGTAAAAACTTTTATAATTCCATAAACTTTTATTAGGGAAAGAAGGCGTGGGACGTTTAATAATTAAGATAGATTAGATAATACGCAGCAGGAGACTCGTAACTTTGTATTTGCTCATCGCTGAATTAATTGACGTCATAAAATCATTCCATCGGGTAAGTAGAGCGCAATTTGAGTTATGGTTTGAGTAATTAAAACGAATGGTTTTTGGATTTGTTTGGTTTAGATCTACATATTTAGATCATTCGGAGTCGACATAAACCAATCCAAATCGAATAAGGTAGAAAGAAAACTAGGTATTTGGTATTCGAAAATTTATTACAATTAGTACTGCTTTTGACATTTACATAAATATTTCTATAGGACAAATAATAATACAGGTACGGATACATGTTATTTTTAAGCTATTGCATAGCTTTTATCGCGGACTTTGAGCGCGGCGACCAAATCAAGAAATTTCGTAACGAAAACAAAACCTAACACCCCGCACTCCGCCTACCGTGTAGCTCGCGTTCAACACATTCACACGTTGCGCTTGTGTAGTGTTTGTGAATAAGCGCGCGGCGTGACGTCGCACTGCATGCGCATCATGAAAAGTCTGCCCGTCTCTCTCGCGCGCGGTCTAGCATAGGAGTGTGAAGGGGACAGTTAATGTTTTGCTTTTGTTAATGTTTATAAATATAGCGTGAGACCACTTATTTTATTATTGTTTTAATATTAAATTATTATTGTCTAATTATAATTGTATAAGTATTTAAAAAAAAAAGCTATGCAATAGCTTTACCGCGGCAGTCCCCGAGTGCCACATGTGTTTTTTCTTTTTAATTTGTCACAATGCTATGTAAAAAGATAGCAATTTAAACCGTCGGAAGTCGGCTTGCTTGTTCAATCTACAAAAAAGACCTGAGGAAATACATAATGTTACCAATATTTTTTTTTAATACTGAATAGAACATTTTTATGTTGCGTAGGTGAGAAGATAGAGGCGAAAAGCCACGATGACGTCACAATGCTGTTCAGTGACATCGTCGGCTTCACATCCATCTGTGCTACTGCAACACCGATGATGGTTATTGCAATGCTGGAGGATTTGTACAGCGTATTTGATATATTCTGTGAGGAGCTTGACGTTTACAAGGTAGGTAATCATTTTATTTTTGGGTATTTTATTTAAGTGAGTAATTTTTATTTTTTTATTGCTTAGATGGGTGGACGATCTCACAGCCCACCTGGTGTTAAGTGGTTACTGGAGCCCATAGACATCTACAACGTAAATGCGCCACCCACCTTGAGATATCAGTTCTAAGATCTCAGTATAGCTACAACGGCTGCCCTACCCTTCAGACCGAAACGGATTACTGTTTCACGGTAGAAATAGGCAAGGCGGTGGTACCTACCCGCGCGGACTCACAAGAGGTCCTGCCACCAGTAATATAAAATAATAAATTTCATCAAGGAAATTTTTCATCTTGCTCTCGTGCACCTTGGTCAAGTCAACATAGCATGGATTTGTTGCTTATAGTTTCCACCGACTTCCTGTTGGAGATTTAAGGTGAACTAGAAAGTAATAATAGTAACCTATAATAATAAAAAACACTTCTACGGATAATGGTGACACACAGTAGGAATAACTGGTCTAGGAAACCGCAAAACTTTTACTATACTATTAACATATAATATTATGATGTAGGGGATGAAGTATTGAATATCGTGGATGTCTGAGTTTTATGGCCTCATATAAAAGTTAGCAAGAAACAGATCCGAATCAGTGAAGTTCTAAAGTTAAATACGTTTTCATTTTATTCTAGACATATCTTATTCTTGCAAGGAGTGATGTCACACCTTGTGTGTACCATTTGATTCATATACTGGTCGCTCACAATGAGCCTTATCAGAAGACTCAAGGTTACCCAATGAGCAATGCGAGATCAAATCAGGAATGAGGAGATTTGCACTAAAACCACGGTTACCAATATAGCCCAAAGGGTTGCGACGTTGAAGGGGCTGTGGTCAGGGTACATTGCTCGTAGAACTGTGGCCGCTGGGGCTGAAAAATTGGGGGCTTATATCCAGCAATGAACGTCTGTGGGCTGGCGAATAGGATAGGATAGGGATAAATACCTGTGAGTACTGATGATGACACCTTTTGTGAATTCTCACGAATTGGATCCATTATTCTGGAATTTTGGTCCTAAGGTTGTTTACAGCAATGAACGTCTGTAGGCTGGCGAATAGGATAGGATAGGGATAAATACCTGTGAGTACTGATGATGACATCTTTTGTGAATTCTGACGAATTGAATCCATTATTCTGGAATTTTGGTCCTAAGGTTGTTTATATGTTCAAAACCAGGTAAGATCAGAATCTTCTGATTCTATTATAGTAGTTATTTTATTATGTACTGATTTGAAATATTTGGAGTAAAAGAGTAAGCCCATTTAAATTTGCTGGTAAATTTATGTTGATTTAATAGCGTTCGAGAAAGCATACGTTAATAAAAAATAAAAAATAAAAATTTCGAAATTGTTTTTGATTGGTATTAACAAAAGTCACATCACTGTTTTTAACACTTTGGGCATATCAATAAAAACCGGTTAATTCGTGTTACAATACTAAATCATCTAGGTTAATATCAGATAGTATAGATTTATTAAGTTTCAAATATCCATTCAATTTAGCAAGTTCCAATGAAACATCAAATTATCTCCGTAGCAACATTTTAAACGGTAACATTATATAAATTGAATCCAATTATTTTTAAGTCTTCTCAATAACCGAAGCAACAGGGTCATTAATCGTTATAATTGAATGAACGCTTACAGGAACCTCGATTCTGCTATCTTCATTGAAGATACTCGAGAATTTAATTACTTCGGACAAATAGGAAGCTGTTTGTTTGGTTCCATCATTATTTCTTTGATCTTGTTGAGGTGTCGCCCCCCTTGACATTATCTATTGATTGTAGTGATAGACTAAATAGTTTTTTTTTTTTCAGTTGGATAAAGTTCAGGATAAAGTTCAAATATAAATATTGATTTTGTTAAACTAGATAATATTATACTTTTAAAATTCAAATTGTGCTAGAGAAATTCTTGTTAAAAATAAACGGCACATTATTGTCATGCTTGAAAGTGCATCTCATGCGTTTGCTAACATACTATTTGTCGTTTTTAGAGTTATCATTTCAAAAATCGTCTAGTAGTAACGTCATTGTTGGGAACGGCGTTAATATATTGGCATTTATTATAATCACTAGCTTAAATACAAATGTATTGCCAACGATCAATTACCAATTTATAAAGAATCATTAAAAAAATACAAGTTTCACTAAAACAGCATACAAACTTCTATATTTATACTTTAATTAGGTTTGTTATTCGAAAGGTAAATTAACTTTGAGTGACATATTCGTATTAATTAGAAAACACTCATTTAGGCGGCTTGAAGTTAAGTCGTTGTGGAATTAACGCTTAATGTGGCTCTCGACACAAACAGAATGAAACAAAACTTTCCCACATCAAAGGAAGCTCATGAAATTACAATTTCTGAATTAGTAAGACACTTAACGAAGCTTGTAATTGATGTGCAGACAAAGTGCCTTCTTGATCCCATGTTTAAAAGTACATGCAAGTTTAAGTTGATTTGAATTTCATCGTGGCCTAAAGTAAAATATATACGGTGGATGAATGTACGTCTATTATATCCGGTAACAATCAATAATTTCAAATTTTGAAGAATATTTACCCTTATTACTAATAGAAATAAGGCAGCCTATTCTTTATAAACTAACGAAGCTAAATTGCAGAATGAGACCTACACAAATATCAGGAGCTACGAATATGATTAAATCGAATGTCACTTTATCTTTAGGTGGAAACAATAGGTGATGCATATTGCGTTGCAAGTGGCTTACACCGCAAAATCGAGACGCACGCACCCCAGATCGCATGGATGGCGTTACGCATGGTCGAAACATGCGCACAGCATTTGACGCATGAAGGAAATCCCATCAAGGCAAGTTAATTATATTCGACTTTAATTTATATTTAAAATTTAGTATTTTAAAAGAGGTATGTGATAATTAAAACCACTTTCATACTAAAATCTTGCGTCTGCAGACTATGATGTCATCCGTGACCGCAAAAATGGGGAATATTTGAAACTTCGAAAATAGTGAAATGAATATAATCAAAAAGAGATCAAGCCAAAAAATAAGGTTTAATAATGCTCACGACTCGCGAAGCCTGTACTAGATAACACAATTTCAAATTCAATAATTTTCTTACTCGTATTGATTTTCATTATAGGAAATTCATTTTTTTAATTTACTCTGGCATCAAGTCGTCTCAGTCTTCTTGCGTAATAAAATTTTTAACAGGCTGTTTCATTACTCAATAGATCAACGGTCTAAATATTGTACCTTAGAACATGCATTTATGATTTTTTTCCATATCGTTCTTTGTATTAATTATGTTATTACCTGTAAAAAAACTTTTAAGGTGACTTATATAAAATGATTATCAGTATATTATATGCCTGTATTAGCTCTCAAAAAACCTAAATTATTAGAGTACAAGCTTAAGCTTAGGTTTGCAAATCGTAAAATAGTAAAGTGAAATGGGAGAGAGACTTGCATAAATCGTTGGGCTATTTAGTGTTCAATGGTTAACTGATAATGTAATTTTTCTATTTAGATGCGCTTAGGACTGCATACTGGTACAGTACTAGCCGGGGTCGTCGGTAAAACTATGCAGAAATACTGCCTTTTCGGTCATAACGTGACCCTTGCAAATAAATTTGAATCCGGCTCAGAACCACTGAAGATCAACGTCAGTCCCACCACTTATGAGTAAGTGACTCCTAATGCTAATTTTATTGTAGACTAGCGACCCGCCCTCGCTTCGCTTCGGAAACGTTAAATTTTATTATTGATAGCTGAATCCCGCGATGTTACCTACCCGCGTTTATTGTCGTACCGCGGATGACGCCGCGGGACGAAGCTAGTCTAAAATGTAACTTAAGTTACTCCTTATATCATCAGCTACTTATCAGTGAAAGTCTCGTCAAAATCGGTCTAGCCGTTCCAGAACAAACAGACAGACAGACAGACAAAAATTGTAAAAAATGTTATTTTGGTGTATGGACCGTATATATATTCATATGCATGTAGTAAAAAGCGGTTATTTCAATATTACAAACAGACACTCCAATTTTATTTATACGTATAGATATCTCATATATTATCAGCGGAAAAAAATCATTCTTAAGTACTTTACATTGAAAGATCTAACAAATATCAATAGAAATATTACCTAGAATATATTTAATATTTTCCAACTTCACGCTTTCTAACCAGCGCTTTTTATATTGTACCAGAATTTTGTGAAAAATGGACCTCTTGAAACGTGCTATACATTCCTGAGAGACCAGCCACCTGAACTTAAACGCCCTTAAAAATGTAGGACGTGTAATGTTATAAAGATTGCCCTTTTCAAGTACGGAGCATGGACACTAATGGATCATAACGTACAAGGAGCCCAATTGGGATTCTTTGTGTAGCTTATGCCTCAAATTATTAGGGTTACTTAGAAGTCACTCTTTTTATGAAAGGTCATCACCCACGTAAAATGTTTATCTGTAAAAATAGTTTTCCACAGGCCCTTATCTAATAATGATCTTAAACTCCCACGGATATACTCACAATGAACCGATGCTGGAGTGAATCTCTGGAATACAAAGGAATTGGGCCGGAATAAAAAAAAACTAAATTCTCTCGCAGGTGGCTAATACAATTCCCGGGCTTCGAAATGGAATCGCGAGACCGTTCCTGTCTCCCGAATTCATTCCCCAAGGACATCCCGGGAACATGTTATTTCCTTCACAAGTACGTACACCCGGGAACGGACCCTGCGGCGTCCCAGGTAAGATGTTCCCACTGGACAATGTGAGGTAANGGGCCGGAATAAAAAAAAACTAAATTCTCTCGCAGGTGGCTAATACAATTCCCGGGCTTCGAAATGGAATCGCGAGACCGTTCCTGTCTCCCGAATTCATTCCCCAAGGACATCCCGGGAACATGTTATTTCCTTCACAAGTACGTACACCCGGGAACGGACCCTGCGGCGTCCCAGGTAAGATGTTCCCACTGGACAATGTGAGGTAATAATTTAGAGATCTGTGACAGTTGCTGTTTCACATTATACGTGCAGTGGAATTGTGACTATAAATAAAAGGGCGACATACATGATTAATGTTTTTTGCAAGATTTGATGTAACAGAAACATTTCTTATTATTTTGTACAGAATGTACTAAGAAAAAGTGTTACTTTTAGTCAGTGGAAAAATAAAATAACGCTCAAAGATTCCATTATATTTATGGACAGTACGGCAATTTGTTTATCTAAGTCTAATCAATTTTAACCATTTTTAACCGGGCCCAACGATTCTTCCCGTCAAATTATCGGGCAAAATGTAGAGGCTGTATATTAGGTTTACCGTCTCCAAACTTTGAGCACTTGAATACTGAACAAGTAATTGGGGCAGTGTGTTCATTAAGCTGGGTCGAGCCGGAGCATGTCTCGAATATTCATTACCACTTAAAATGAATGACAAAACACAGCTGTTGCACAAGTTTCAAAAAATATTTTTACATTAGTTTCGTAATGTTTAGAACGTATCTCCAATACGTGATAATTTCTTTTATATAATACTTTTCAAAATTTGTTTTACTAGTAATAAAAAATGCATAGCTCCAAGAAAACTTATAATAAAAGAAATATATTGAGGATTGTATCAATAGTTTGGAGTTTTTTGTCATTCATCATAACATTCTGTACCTAATTGAAATAGTAAAAAATGCGATCATTGTATTTGACAGGTCAAACATATACAGGATGCGTTAAAATATTATGAAATTGGACAATTCGGACAAAATAATCCAGTTGAAAATGACCCGGAGCCAACATAGTCACGACACGAGCGGTTTTGATAATTTTAATATTATCTACAATGTACATAGCTTTAATTAGAGCTTTGTTTGTTATTGTTTTAGATATTTTCGTATTTGTCTTATTACGAGAATCAATTGAAGTTAGTACTACTATTAAACATATTTGTAATTTTAATTAGTGTATCACGGGATCGTTGTACTTGCTGTTCAAATAAAGTAAAAACACATTATAATAAGTGTCGATGTTCAATGTTTAAGTGTTCGTCTATATCACGGCATAGAAATACTTTCAGCTTTACAAAGGAATCTATTCGTTAATAAAATAGAATAAAACACTTTTTTGGAGTCATATTATGCCCAATAATGTAGAGCGTATCATGATTACAATCCAAACCCTTAGCTATAAAATAGTTCTAGTCATTGTTTGTAAGAAAATAAGCAGCCTTTGGGTATAAATGTTTCTAAGTTTTTTCTTTAGAAATAGAATAGAATCTTTATGAAGCTTTACTAATAAAATGTAAGGGAATGTAAATAAATTGAATCCGGGATAATTACGACTTACTTAGAGTTAATGCGAATTGCTTAAAAATAAAGCAAAATAATGTTAAAATTTCGCTACGATTAGATTACTATTTTATTAAGCATAATATTGTGTAACGAGTTAATGGCGAATTTGTAGAATCACTGTTTATAAAGAACTGTATCGTAATCTCACGTTATCGATTTAATTTAACTATTTAGTGATAAAATTCATACATGTGTAATTCACATCTTAGCCGTTGTAAATAAATTTCGATTCTATAAAAACAAAAGCGTACGTTCTAAAATAGGTAATGGGCTTTAGTATATTGTTGACTTTACGGAATGTCTATCATGTAAGTCTAAGTTAAAATAATTTTAGTAATCAATTTCAAGGCCGACCATGGGGTACATTCCTATATTGGTTTTAATAAGATACACTATATAAATCAACTAAAAGGTCTTAGAATTTAATCTTGTAAAATTTTTTTAAGTACATTTTTTTAATCCTCAATATTCCCTTGAACATAAATTTAAATCCAATAAATCTCTGATTTACACGTTAAAAGAACCTTAATTTTTCCAAAATTAATTTACTCCGAGGTATTCTTTCCGAATTTCAGTAAAAAATGAATTAAGGTAAGTGAATATGAATGTTATGTACTTTAGATGTCTTTATGCCTTTCCAGCCAATGTCCGCGACTTCGTTCACGCTGTCTTCTAGATTTCGCGAAATTTTTATTATGATGCACTCATTGCAAGAAAATTCTCCTCGAAAATGTAATCATGTTCGCGTGAATACTTTAAGAATACCTACAGATAATTATTTTGAGATATATTAATTTTATAGATGTGAATATCGGAAGAAATGTATAAATGGCTATTGTCTAAATAAAAATATTATTATGCTTGTAGGTATACTTGGCAATAAGTAAGTGATAGATTAAAATTTATATTTCTATATTTTTTTCCATTCTGTTTGTTACGTGCAATGAAATTGTTACAATTTCAAAACTTGGATTAAAAAGAAACAATAATTTCTCTTTTCGGAAATCCTTGCTGTGCCTTCTTCTCACGTTAATCTCAAAATTATAAAAATAGTTATTTAAAAGTAAAAGTACATTAGATAAATTGTAGACTTTTTATTTATAATGAAATAATAATTTATTTAAATTATTCGAGAGTTATTTAAATATTTCCAAATCTAGAACATTTATACAGAACGTATAAAATAAAAAAAACTATTTTAAATTTCTATTAAACATTTTTCAGTGTTGTGATTTAGATTAGTTTAGTGGAATTATAGTCATTAGTACTAATGAAACACAATTCATAAGTAATTAATTACGCTTACGTTTAAATACATCGCGTAATTAGTTTATGATCTAGTCGATAATTAAGAATATATTGATAATATAATATATTATGTATATGATAATACTCGATATTGGATAGTGCTTTAGATTCTCATTACGTAGCATTCCATTAATTAGGAAAATATATTATATTAAATGTAGTTTTGCTCTGACGTTGCTGAGTTGAGGCTTCAAATATAAACGTGAGATTCGAGACGATAACCTGGGATTTAGTTTCTTTTCCACGATATTATTTGTCTGAAAAAAAATAGGTTTGAAGCGAACGAAAGTCACGTAAAATACAGGCACACGTGGTGACTTTGCGATTTTCTTTCTACATTTTATGTCGATCGAATGAAAATGAACCTTAGAGAATGTTTTGATAAAATCTTATTTTATTTACTTTGAACAAACGAATATAGATAAAGTCGCGTTATAAAAATGATTTACGCCAATCTTTAAATCTAACATCGTGTGTAGTTAATTTGATCTAAACCTCTTCCCGTTGTCGACAAAGAATTACAAAAAATGTTTTCCGTAAGTAAAAATTTGAATTATAATTCTATGTAAAATTCTTATAATTTTAAATTTCGGGAATCGTATTAAATAAATATTTAATTCATTCTTCTATAAATCATTGAAACAATTATAAGCCTGTATTAATAAATAAATCATTAACATTGCTATATAGTATGTGATTATAATAAACAATTGAAATAACTAGAAAATTATAAGAATTCTGCAGAATTAGTTATCAGAATTAGTAGAATTATTATTCTATACAATTTATATTACTATAGAAAATTATAAGAATTTACAAGTCTGCTTTACTTATCACAAACCTTTAAAATTAATACTATTTTTGTGTCAGTAATAGTTGATCATGAATATATACAACTGTAATAATTAAATGTTATAGCTAAAATGAAATACGTAATCAAAATTCGGTGAAAAATTTTTTCAATTGTTTTATTATAATCACATACTATATAGCAATATTAATGATTTATTTATTAATACAGGCTTATAATTGTTTCAATTATTTATAGAAGAATAAATTATACATTTATTTAATACGATTCCCGAAATTAATGATTTGTTCTTAATTAAACGTAAAAATCTTAATTTTTAGACAAAATTAAGCGAAAAATATCTTTTAACCACAAATTCATTGAAATAAGATTTTCGTTCTAACTCTATTGACCACCAACGACTCCGAAATGCTAAATATGTACTTTGGCCAGATTGTTAGCATTTCACTGAAATTTCTGTAGGCAATTTGGCAACGGGCGCAAAAAGTGTACGATCTGGCGCGTCCGTCAGCATTGACTAAATATGTTCTAGAATACACTAATTCGCTACCATTGCTATTATATGTATTAAGTAAATAAAAATGGACGTAAATAACAGACTTAAAGGAATCTTTTGATCTCATTGTTAGTTGACTGCTTTGTGAGTATGAAAATATACTAGTCTTTGTATTTTATTAGATAGTAGAATCGTAGATAAGTTTGGCTATTATAATAGTTTATAAAATTTAGATTCGCTGACAGATCAGTATGCCTTTTCCTAAAAATTAATTGCTGTTCGTTAGTCTCGCTAAAACTCGAGAACGGCTTAACCGATTAGACTAATTTTGATCTTGAATTATTTGTGGAAGTCCAGAGAAGGTTTAAAAGGTAGATAAATAATATGAAAATGCTCTGAATTACATAAAAATAACAATTTTGTTTTTCCTTTGATGTGTCCCCGTCGGACGGATTCCTTTTGTTTGTTTTAAGTTTATTTTATACAAAAGTTTAGGCCTTTTATTTATCAATTGAGGCACTACGAAGTCTGCCGGGTCCGCTAGTTTTAAAATAAAACGAATTGAATTTTTCTTTGGCAAAGTTTGTCTAAACCTAAAAGTAAACTTTAATTTAACTCTTGAAATACTATAACTCTTATATACCAATGCATACTTAGTATAAGTATGTGGTAATTATGTCTACGTTATATACTTTGAGTATACCGGGGAACCGGACAGACAATTACGGGTCCACTTGTAAATTCAACCTCAGGACAGATATAAAATACAAAATAAAATTTAGAACCTATCGGGTTTAGATGTAAATTTAAACTATGCAGGGACCCAGTTAAACACGAAAAATAATTATCGAATTTGGTCCCGCCATTTTGAAAGAGTTCAGTGACAAGCTTACAAAAAAATAATTTAAGCTTCGTCATTGTCAGATAAACATTTACTATAATTACTATTTGGAGATTTCGACATTTAGACTATCAATACTAGTTTAATAACTAAATTACTCTCTACAGAGTAGGTATTGGTTTGGCATCGACAATTTCCATAATATATTATGTTGTGATAATACTATTGTATATGTCGTCTAAGTATGTAGTTGGCTTTATTTAAATATAAGTTGCAATACTCACTTTCAAATTCATCGAATCAGGAGCTGTGGCCATTATTGATGCGATTAGTTATTAGATCGCCAGGAAATGTAGGTAAAATAACAAAATCGTATTTACCGGCGGCCATATTGAAATATGACATCGAAGTCTTAAAGGCACATAATTGAAGGCCGAATTTTGCTTTGTAGCATAATAGGGCGGATGATGGCTCTGACCCAGGCAGTTTGAAAATATAAAAGAAATAGAACACTATATTACTCCTATAGCCACTAATAGTTAGAGGCTAGCGGTTACTCTGTGAAAGCAATTAACGTCTTAAATATTAAGGCATATATCCATCGAAATGCCTCAAAGGGGTTCTATACAAAAAGCCTAAAGTATATTATGAAACAAACAAAGTATAAAAAGGTGATTGGTATTTTAACTGAGCTTGTCTTTGTTGTACTGTCATACCGTCACATGTCGTTTTTAAGGTGTAAATATTCACCCAAGAAATTTTAAATCTAGACTAACCTTCGGCTATTCGTATGGTAGTTTTTTGTAGTTTTGAATTTATATATTTCAAGTTATTTTTTATGTATATGTATGTATGCATGTACGAAAGCCAAGAACGGCTTCTTTTACAAAATAACTGATCTTTGACGTAATTCACTAAGTGTAAGCTGTTTGTACTTCACGCTATCTCGAAATTGATGTAATAATATTATTATGTGTTTGTTTGAATTCTCGCTGTAAGTTAAATTTAAACTGTGAATGCACTATTAGTGGAAAACGAAATAAAATGTTTCTTTCATAAAATGATTGTTTTTTTTATTTAAAAGCCTTTTTTAACTGACGTGAAAACTAGCCAAATGACTTCCAGACTTCACACTATTGGGAATACGCATTTAGAGACAATGCAAGCTCCAAATTTAAAGAAAGGCTTTATTTTTCTTAATTCCCGTTTCCTTGCTTAGCCGAACCTATGTACAATAAAGCAAGAGAGTCAGACTCAAAATACCTGTGCTATTTTGATTCCAGAATTTTTCCCTCAAAACGGTACCGATTTTAGTATTTTGTTCAGAATTATTTAAAAGGTATGCTTTGTTTTAAATTTTTTTAAACTTGACAGAGATAGATTTTTTTTCTTGCAAAATACAGCTAGTCTCGTTATCCAAGCATTAGAATACGTATGTCCGAATGTATTTCATCTCAAGCGTTCATGAATAAATACACACAGTCTTCATACAAAAGACATTTCACAGGTGTCTCAATAACAGTACACTATTTAATTTTTTTACGATTATTTTCTGTGCAGGTCATCAGAGGACTTTCTTCTTCTTAATCGTTTCTCTATAGGCAGAATGGTCGTGATCCTTATGTAGTATTGGAAGAGACAGCTTTTATGCATCCTATGATGTGCCTCCATTACCTTTTGTTCGAGGTCATCCTACAACACTTATTTAAAGAACCTCACATGGCAGATTTGTTTGGTTCACTGCATGGGAGACCTCCGGCGCGGTCTTGTATGGGTGGCCCACGACAAGACATTCTATGGCTGGCAGATCTCGCCAGTAAATATTGTAGGAGCACTACACCGAAGTTATTAGGTTTCAACTGGAACCTTTAGCCGAAAGGTGCAATCTGCTCTACATCGCGCATGAAATCATCAATCTTTTTTTATTTATTGCTTAGATGGGTGGACGAGCTCACAGCCCACCTGGTGCTAAGTGGTTACTGGAGCCCATAGACATCTACAACGTAAATAAGTTCTAAGGTCTCAAGTATAGTTACAGCGGCTGTTCCACCCTTCAAACCGAAACGTATTACTGCTTCACGGGGAAATAGGCGGGGTGGTGGTACTTACCCGTGCGAGCTCACAAGAGGTCCTGTCACCAGTAATCGACCAATATGTGTATGTAGAAGTACTATGAACAAGTATATTGATAAAAACATAACTAATAGAACCATAAAAGGACTACGCGTTAGATACAGGACATAAGTGGACAGGACTACCTGATATCTGAAGCCTGAGCCTATTGAAACTAAAACCAGAATTAGATAAACACTAACTAACACTAAAGGTGAGCCCTTGAAAAATGAAGTCTATATATCGGTGTTGTCGTTAAAAGTGTTGAAATTTAGTGTATACCTAAATTGACCTCTAATTAATTATAAGAAGGCTCTCAAAATTTATACGCGGGGAAGGCAGCAAATTCTTATTATGCACTAACTAATAACTTACGTACTGTGTCGTTACGATCATAATTCTCATTCCTGGCTATTATTTTTTACATTCAAAACCGCCGATAAAAGCTATATAAAAAATAGCTTCGCTGTTCTAGTGGTGAATTACCTTGATTTACTGGTGGTAGGACCTCTAGTGAGTCCGCGCGGCTAGGTACCACCACCCTGCCTGCCTATTTCCCTGCCTATTTCTCCCTTCCCTGCCTATTTCTGCCGTTGTAACTATACTTGAGACCTTAGAACTTATATCTCAAAATGGATGGCGCATTTTCGTCGTAGATGTATATGGGCTTCAGTAACCACTTAACACCAGGTGGGCTGTGAGCTCGTCCACACATCTAAGTAATATATATATTTGTCTCCCAGACTTGATTTATAGTCAGAGTCGGTTATATTTTTTAAAAATCTTTAAATAAAGTAACGGGGCTTAAAACCGCGATATCCTAAACGTGAAGCCATCACTGGCTGTCAAGCTAACGAAATTATATTTGAAGTTATCTCCCTTCCAGCTTCACGGTACATGCTATTCAATATTATCTACGAGAATTTAATATATTTCCTGTTTGCTTACATTGACTTGATCAATATTTGATTTTCATGATGCCGGGATTTTGATGTATGAAAACAAAATTTGAACACAAACTCCAGATTCAATATCAGAAGGAAGTATATGAATAGGTAAAAGTAAAAATAAACATTTATCGTACAATTTTTTTTTTNTTCACGGTACATGCTATTCAATATTATCTACGAGAATTTAATATATTTCCTGTTTGCTTACATTGACTTGATCAATATTTGATTTTCATGATGCCGGGATTTTGATGTATGAAAACAAAATTTGAACACAAACTCCAGATTCAATATCAGAAGGAAGTATATGAATAGGTAAAAGTAAAAATAAACATTTATCGTA